AAAAATATTTTAATATCAAATAAAAAGTATAACTATAAAATACATTAATATCCAAATCAGTAAAAACATAATAAAAAGTAAAAATTATAAGCAAATTCTTATACTCCTTTATATTTGTAAAAATTGAAAAGTTCTGAAAATTTTTCTTGATTACATCACTAGAAGCACAAAAAACAATAAAAAATAACTTCAAATTTCTAGCACAACGTAAATTATTTTTGAAGGTTAAAATTAATTTTTTTTTCTTAATACGCTAATAATTTAATGTCATTTTCTAAATTCTGTTAAAAGTAAATAACATTTAACATGAATATTACTAAAATTGATTAGAATCATTCAAAATCAAAATTTAAAACTTCTAAATCAAATATCTAAGAATAGTTGAATATTAAGACTAATTTTATTATACAATTTTTAGGCTTTTAGAATGATATTTATTTAAAACTTAGTTAGGAAAATCATAAGATTATTTTAAAAACAAATTAGAAATTTAGGGTTCTAAGAGCAAAAGCGCAAACAAATTACGAAAAGATAGAGCTGTAGGTGAATTAAAAATTTAGAATTAAGGTTAGAGTGCATGATTAGAATGGAGAAATTATTTAGGGAATATGAAGATGTTCTATTTTTATTTTTTTAATTAAGTTAATGGAGTTATAATATTGTAAAATAAGAAAAAGAAAATTTAAAATACTACAAAAAAATATGTTATATTATTTAATTAAATTATCTTCTAATCAGATTTTATTTTGTAATTAGTCAGTTCGGGCGGTTTGAAGGTAAAATCAGGAACAAAACAAATTATATCAGTTTTAAAATTTTAGAATTCAAACCAACCCAATTTTATATCAGTTTGGATCAGTTTTTAATTAGATCGGATCAATTTAAGTCGGATTAATCGGATTGGATTGAATATAAATACCCCTAGTTATAGTTAGGGAAAAACAATTTCAAATTTTAGTGGTTGAAGGCGCACTTTTGTGGTTTTTGCCTAGCATAATGGTAAGCCAGGTTTGGTATCTTGTGATTCTCAGTATGGAAAATGTCAATCGGTATAAAAAAAAAAAAAAAAAAAAGTTTTTGTTAAGTCCACGCAATATCTCTTTTTGGACAGGCAAGACTAGCG